CAAAAGAGGATTTCTCATTTTTGGTGTTAGGTTTGAAGGATAGCATTGTCAGCCCAGATGGGAAAATTTCATATATATATTCTCCTCCTTTTTCCCTCCCTCCCTAATTAAAACTCCCTGCCTATTTTTCTATTTCCCCTTCAGATCATTTGTACCCTGCTTTTGTACTCTGTACCGACCCCCCCCATACACACACAGGATATTTCCTTTTTACTTTCCTGATATGGTGGTTTGAATGAGAGTCACCCCCATAGGCTCTTATATTTGAATGTCTAATCTCTAGTTGGTAGACAGTTTAGTGGAAGATTAGGAAGTGAGTCTTTTTGGAGGAGGTGTGTCACTGTGGATGGGCTTTGAAATTTCAAAAGCTCACAGCAGGCCCACTTCCCCCCCACCCCTCACCCTCACCTGTGGATCAGGATTTAAAGGTCTCAGCTACTGCTCCAGTGCTATGCCTCTCTTCTTCTTGCCATGATGATAATGGACAAACCCTCTGAAGCTTTAAGCAAGCCTCCAATTAAATGCATTTGTTTATAAGAGTTGTCCTGGTCAATCGAAATGAAATTGCCAATTAACAGGGGAGATGAAGCCCCAAAAGGACATCTCTTGCCACCAAATGAAGCTTCCAGTACCAGGAATCAGTTACATCTAATTGAGTTGTTGGTCAAAGAGGCCCCAATAGGAACCCCGAAACAACCCAGGCTGTTGTCAAGGCTATATAGAATGGTATCCACAAGCTGATAGCAAAGCCCTATTTCTGAAGACAACCCTTACACAACTCATTGAATATGGAGAAGTTCCTACATAGGGCCTTCACCCCTGTGGGCTAATGTTCTCAGTACAGGAAGGTACTCTGCATGCTAATAAAGGAGAAGCATTAACACCAAGCCAGCTACAAACTTGCCAATCTACAATGTTGTCCTGCCTGCAAGATGTTCTAGTGCAATGGTGACACAAAGCTTGTGGGAGTAACTAACTGACCAATATCTTAGGTGTCTTCCGGCCCACTCCGTGACATCAAATGGTGCTTGGATGACTAAGAACCAAATATGAGATAGCCCAGGGACCTACGCTAAAATAAAATACTACTGTCCTAATGACATCCTGTTATACTCATACATCAGAGCTTTCACCACCCACCATCAGAGAGATTTCCTCCTGCAGTGAATGGGAACAAATCCTGGGACCTGCAGCCATATATTATGGAAAGAATGAGAGCCCTTGGAACTCTCAGCCCTGAACAGGGTGCCTCCAACAAACCCCTCCTCTTAGAGCTCATGGAACCCTGTGGAATAGGAGGCAGGAAGAGTTTCAAATCCAGAGGGGATGGAGGCCATTGTGACACAAGACCTTCTAAACACAGTGGGCCTGATGCACAGATGAACCTACAGAGACAGAGGCAGCATGCTTTTATTTTCCCCATTGTATCATTTTAGCATCTTTTCTTGAATGTCAAATGGCTGTAGCTATGTGCACTTGTGTTCAGATCTTTATTTTGTTCCAATAGTATGCGTATCCGTTTTGCGACACAACCATGTTATTCTTATCTTGGCTCTGATGCTGACATCTTGAGATCTAGAGTGGCAATCTCCCTGAATTGCTCATGACTGTTCTGGCTCCCATTCTATTTGTAAGACTTTCCCTTGAGTGTCCTAGCTGTGCTGTTCACTTTTTAAATCCCATCTCCATTTTATGCGGAGTGCTCTTCAATCTTCTTATCTCCTTATTGAGCTGCATTTTCTAATCCGGCATTATCTTGGTTATTTTATTCAGCCTTGTGTTTGTCTTTTCTTGGGTAACACTTAAGCCTTTATTTCTTTGAGTTAATTCTCTCTAAATTTTTTACACTGAACTGTTTGTTTCTGTTTTCCTTAAACTCTGAATTCTTTGATAATATTTATGGTGTTTTTTTTAAAGTTCTGTATCCTGGAATTAATCTGAGTAATTGTTCTTACATAAAATTTCTGTAGAACAGGTGGATTGGGGGGGGGGAAGGGGAGATGGACAGTGTATACTGTCTTTGAACTTTCATATTATTTTGCAGTGAGACCCGGGCACATGGGCTTCTTGTTTTGATTGTATGTTTGATGTGGACACAGAAGGCTTGGCTGGTACACAGGGTTTGCTACTCAGTACAAGCTGGCAGTTAAAAATAATGTGCAGGTGGGTCACACCAAGCTGTGCCCCACCCTGGTGGGGCCCAGACCCTGGTTGTGGGCTCTAGGATGAGCCTGGAAATTGATAAGAGTTCAAACACGGGAGGGTCAGGCATACTCACAAGGCTGGGCCATAACACAGGATGTATGGGTCTGTCTGGCCCTGAAGTATGGTTCAGGACCAAATATCCATAGGGGCAATTGGAATTGAAAGGGGTTAAGCCAGCAAGTATAGGTATGTTACCTGTGTTTCTATAGCACACAGACAGGCTAGAGGGTCCCTGGCAGGGAATGTCTGGGGGATGGTGGGTCCTAAAAGGGGGAAGAGGGTCAGGAGGAAGTCCTGATCCTTGGCAAGCAGCCGCAGGGCTACCTGAGTTGGGAGGCTCTGTGCCAGCGAGTAAAGATAGGTTACCCATGTCTTCCCTCTGTATGGGCTAGATAGAGAGTTCCTTGCAGCGAGGGTTTCAGTGTCTTGTGGGTGCAAGGAGAAAGAAGGGTCAAGAGAAGGTGACAACCCCAGAAAAGCATCCACAATTCGACCAGGAAAGGACTGTGCTTGGGTGCACAGGCAGGTTACCTGTATCTCTGCCCTATGTGGATTGACTGGTGGGTCCCTGGCAGTGAGAATTTCACCACGTCATGAGTCTCAAAGTGAAGAGGGGCTCTGGAGGATGATCTTGTTGCTCTCCTTATTTAATTGAAGGCTTTTCTTTGCCACTTAATAGGCCATTATTCATATTCTACTTACAAAATGGCATATGCTAATGAAGCTATTCCAATCTTAGTAACCAGCATTATGCCTTACAGCACACATGTAGTAGTTTTAAGTTCTTTGTTCCAGTGTCTGGAGCGCTGGGGTGAAGGAGATGATCATGGCTGAACTATAGGGCAGAGTTGGGGAGTACACTATCATTTGTTGATTGCTCATCACGGGCCACGGAGCTTGGGAACTTTACATGCATTAACTCACTTAATTCCTACCCCATAGCATTGGGAGGTAGGTGGTATTATTTCCCCGTTAGTACTGGGGAATTCAAAGCTGAGAGAAGGAAGGAATCACATAATGTCACTTTCTTGATATTTAAAAATTGAAGAATCCCTTTTCAGCAGAGGGGGAAAGATTTGACTCATGCCAGCATCTCAGCTGTGTGTTGAACTTTACCAAAACCCCTGGATTCATCTTGGCCCCTCCCCCTCTTTCGGATCCAGCCCCGCTAATCCGTCTTCAGTTGTTCCTTTCATGGGTTGTGTCTTTTCTGCTCTGGGGCCTTTGTTCATGCCACCCTCACTTCCTGAACTGCTTTCCCTTGTCGCTCTTGACTGAGGAGGACAAGTGTTCAATAAATATTTGTGTATGTGTGTGCATTTGCTTCTTAGTGCATACTTATTAAATAGAGTTAAATGTAAACTTAAATGTTATTATTATTCAAAGGCAAATATCTAGTAAAGTGCAGAACCAGCACATATACCCAGGTATGAGTTTAAAGTACATGTTCTTTCATGATGTGTCTCTGCCCATACAAATGGGTTCTTGACCTAATACTCACTCCGCTGGCTACATGATTCAACATACGATACTACTCTAATTATCAGTTTCCCATCTCTACAACTGGGATAGAAGCAGGCAGAGTCCAGATGTTCTGTATATAATATAGAAGAGGTTGAGAATAGAGGTCTAGGCAGGAAGGGGTCTAAATGAATATTTTTTCAATAAAACCAAATATTGTTCCTCTATAAGAAAGGTTAATAGCTACATCAAGAGTTCTTCATACGCCTGACAACTTGACTCAAAGGTAAATGTAGTATAGTGTGTAACATGCAAGTATTGCAGTTACTTTTGCACCACTGTGCCAATGTTCCTGACATAAGCAGTGCGGGGGGGGGCAATTTTTATATGAGCCAGCCATGCTATATGGTATGAGCACCATCAGCCACACGTTTAAAGTTAAATTCATTAAAATCAAATATAATTTATAAATCAGTCCTTTAGTCATAGTAGCCACATTTCATGTGCCCAACAGGCTATGTGTGCTATTGCTTTGGAAAGCACACACACGGAGCATTTTGGTCCGTGCAGAAAGTTCATTGGACATTGCCTCTTTAGAATTTCTCAGGTCACTGTTGCTAGCTCTGGCTACCTTTGCTGGGAGTGCTTTGTGGTGGGAGACTCTTATTTGCAATGAGAGGCATCTCTGGCCCATATCCACTAAAGGCCATTAGTGTTCTTCCTTAACGCAGTCCCACAGCTGGAACCTGCACTGCCCTTTGCAAACATCCCGAGGCAATAAAATTTATCTCATTTGCAAGTCACGGAGTTTTTCTGTTTAAAAAGAATCTCCTAGCTTGATGTGGGATTTTCCTCTTTATGCTGTGAATGCCATTGCTTAATAAAGAAACTGGCTTTGCCTGATAGGGTAGAACAGAGCTAGGCGGGGAAAACTAAACTGAATGCTAGGGGAATGAAGGCAGAGTCGGAGGAGAAGCAATGGAGCCACAGCTGGAGACATGCACAGAACCTTTGCTGGTAGGCCACAACCTCATTGTGGTGCACAGATTAATAGAGATGGGTTAAATTAAGATGTAAGAGTTAGCCAATAAGAAGCTAGAGCTAATGGGCCAAGCAGTGATTTAAATAATAGTTTTTGTGTGATTATTTCAGGGCTGAGCAGCCAGGAACCAACAAATGGCCTCCCTATAACAATAACTCTTTCTGAGATGGCTCTGATCTTCTCTTGTCTGTGAAAGCGGGGGTTAGAAAGATAGCTTAGAAGGAAAGGCCTAACTCTGCTTTCCATTTCTGTCTTCCTCCATCCTCCTACTGGCCTGTTTCCTGCTCTTGAGAAATTTCAGGAACAAGACTCTGCAGATGGAAAAGATTAAGGCCCGTTTGAAGGCTGAGTTTGAGGCACTGGAGTCAGAAGAGAGGCACCTGAAGGAATACAAACAGGAGATGGATCTCCTGCTGCAGGAGAAGATGGCACACGTGGAGGAACTCCGACTGATCCATGCTGATATCAATGTGGTACGTGGCTGGCTGCCTGCCTGTCTCTGGGTTCGTTAAGGATGAGCAAATAGAGGATGTTGTTACCTTTCATTTAGATGTCAGTGTGGCTAGTTAGCTCAGAGGAGAGGGCTGTGGAGTAGAAAATTCCAGAAGTTCTGAGGTGAGCTCTGATTATGTCACAATAATGGACAAGTCCTTTATTTCTGAGCATCGTAATTTCTCCCTGTATTATGAAAGGCCAACTGACCTTCGAGGGCTCAGTCCGTTCTGACATGTTCACATTCTGGAATTCTGCAGTTCAGGAAGTAGCCAAGGAAAAGTGGACTAGATACCCCTTGAGGGTAGCATAAAATGCTCAAAAGCTCCCAATAAGACCAAATCCATCCTCTCTGTCTGCTTACCAAAGTGGGGCTCTCTCATTAGACGGCCATTTGGAAACTCTTGGAATACTGTGACTAAATTGCCAAGCTGACAAATTCCCTTGTTTGGAGTTACTCACTAATAGTCTAGGCTTCTTTTACTGGGTATTCCTTTATCAGGAAGTGGAAAGGGTTCACCTGTGAGATCCTTTCCAATCCTTAGAGCCTATGACATCTTTTTTAAAATTCGTTTTTGATGGAGCTACGTTTCTCTTCTTGGCAAACTCATTTCTGTGGGATTACTAGTTTTCAGAATGTTGTCAGTTCCTAGAATCATTAAAAATACATAAATGAGGCTGTGTAAGACCCTTGGGGTCTTATGTGTTAGAGAGCACAAGATTCTGGGTCTCCTGGAGGGAACTGATGATGTAGAATCAATAGAAAGAATCACATTTTTTTTTTCAATAGAGGGGTTGAGAATCCAGGCCGGTAGATCTCAGACTAGAGCATGAGGGTCAGCTGGAGGGCCCATTAGAGCCCAAGTGGTTGAACTTTACTCCAGAGTTTCTAGTTGCATATGTTAGGTAAGGGATTGAGAATATACAATTCTTCGTTCCTAAATGCTAATGCTGCCGCTGCAGCTGCTGACGGGGCGTGTGGATGGGGTGGTGGGTGGAAGTGTGGTGACCAGTTTGAAAACAGTTGACCTAGGAAAAATGTAACTGGCTTGGAAGACGTAAGTCTTCCGTTTCTGTGTTGGTTTTGTTCATAAGGATCTCCGTGAAAGCCGAAGCTTCTTTCAGCTCACTGACCTCTACAGTAGACTGCAATCCAGGTGAGGTGAGCTAGATGATCTTTAAAGGCAACTGCAGCTCGGAGGTGTTAGTAATTTGAGTAATTTGACCACGAGTTTATGAGCTGTTACTCCGTTCACATGAATTCAATCATCGAACCTTTACTAAGACTGCATGGGGTGTGCACTATTAAACTTTCACTATCATAGTGATGAAGAAACCGAGGCGGGATCCGCCATGCAGAAAAGACATAGTAAACTTGAACATAGATTGGTCTCCCTCTGGATTCTGTGCTATTATGTGTTCAGTTCTAAAACGTCTTTGAGAACGTTGGGATCTTTTCTGTTTCTACCCTGCTCTATTTTCCAGATGGAAAACACCATTAAACAGTCTGAAAATGACTTAAACAAGTTGCTAGAGTCCACCCGGAGGCTTCATGATGAGTATAAACCTCTGAAGGAGCATGTGGATGCCCTGCGCATGACATTGGGATTGCAGAGGCTTCCTGACTTGTGTGAAGAGGAAGAGAAACTCTCCTTGGAGTAAGCTGCCTGCCCTCTGACCCCAAAATAACACAATGTAACAGAAGGGAGGGGAGAGGGGGGAGGCGACACAGATGGACATGGATATTTACATGGCCTGAAAGTCCGAGTACATAGTCTAGTCCTATTATTAGGCCTGCCGGTGACTAATTCCTTGCATGACGTTCTTCAAGTCTCCATGCTGACATAAAGAGCAATGATGAGATGAAGTTTAATGGGTGACTCTTTAAAAATACTTTGTGCAATTTTTGACAATGTAAGAATTTTACCTATGCAGTGGTATGATAGCTCAGGGAGTAAAATGGCTTTCCACCAGCCCTGGGGGCCTGAGTTCAATTCCTGGGACCCATGCGGTGAAAGGAAAGGATGAACGCCTGCAGGCTGTCCTATGACTTGTGTCCTATGACATGGTAGCATCATGTGCCTGCCTGTACATACACATGCACAAATAAATAAATTTAATATAACATTTAAAATAACTTACCTATGAATTTTAAAATGTCACTTTCCAAAAAGGATGTGCTTCCATTTTCTCCAGGATATGGCCTGTTCTTTAATCTCAAGACCCAGAGTTAAAAACTAGGCTCATTTTAAAGACAGAGTTCAGCCCAACAGGAGGGAGTGTATCCTAAAGTTACAACTGGATTCCTGTAGAAGCAGTAAGCTTCCTATTCCTAGAAGGATATAAATATAGGCTTGGGAATGCTTGGTCTGAACAATGCAAGTGACCATCAAATAGACAACAGGTCTAAATATCTTGCTAGCCCTAAGATTTCTTGATCATCTGCATCTATCAGAGTTAAGAAGAAGTGTCTACTTTCCTAGATCTACTTTCAGTAGATCATGTGCCTAGTACTAGGGGAAGGACCCATGTGCTATAGGGAGGGTCGTGCCATTCTAGAGAAGATCCCAGTACAATTTTTGGTTCCTTAGCATAGAAACTTTAAGAGGGGCAAGGTTCTTCTTGCTTTCAGAGTGATCCAGCCAGTGTCTTTTCATCCCCAAAGTTACTTTGAGAAGCAGAAAGCGGAATGGCAGACAGAGCCTCAAGAACCTCCCATACCTGAATCCCTCGCTGCTGCAGCTGCTGCTGCCCAACAGCTCCAAGTGGCCAGGAAGCAGGACACACGGCAGACAGCCACCTTCAGACAGCAGCCTCCGCCTATGAAGGTGGGTAAGCTAGACTGGACCACAGAGGAAGCAAAGTGTCCTGCAATGGGAGGCTGACGAGATGGTGCTTGAGGTTGTGGTCTTGTTATTTTAGATCTTACTTAAACAATGTTTGATTGGTACACAGAGGATGGGATGTTATGTTGAATCCATGTTGCTGCAAATCCCTAGAGAGATTAGAATACAAGAAGCCTGGCAGGCCCTACTGAAATAGAATTTTCTAAAGGTTAGAAAGGGAATCCTTATACAAATACATAGTGAACATATCTCATTAGTGAGGGATTCAGTAGGATCACAAGGCAGGTTCTTACTGCATTTGGAGAACAGATGTTTACATGGTTGGAAAGAACACTGGAATAAATTTGGAAGTTTTATGCAGAAATTATTTATGTCTTCTAGAGACATAAATGTAATACCTTTAGGATTACCTTTCCTTCCCGCTAGAATTAATTTGCATTTCTACTAGGCCAAAACTGTTTATGGGTTTCCAGTGAAGCATCACAGAATTGGGTCAATAGTAACTAGTCAAACAGACGTTTTACTAGAGTGGCTTTCCAGTAGACCATAGCCTACAGGTAGAGTCTGCCTTGTTATAAGCTTTCATTGGCAATTTATTGGTGTACACACATGCCAGGTGATTTGTGTGTTGTATTTTTTTTTTTGGTTTGGTTTAAGACAGGGTTTCTCTGCATAGCTCTGTCTGTCCTGCAATTCACTCTGTAGACCAAGCTGACTTGAAACTCAGAGATCTGCCTGCCTCAGCCTCCTGAGTGCTGGGATTAAAGGCGTGCACCACCACATCCAGCTTGTGTGTTATATCTTAACAGAGTTGAATAATTGCAACAGACCACTTAATGTGGAAAGTCTAATATATTTATGGGCCACCCCATGACTCAGGATGTAAAAGCACTTACCATGGGAATGTTATGATCTGAGTTTGATCCCAGCATCCCATGGTAGAAGGAAAGAACCAATTCCCAAAAGCTGTTCTAGGAGAGAACTGCAAAGTTGTCCTCAGACCTCCACACATGTTCTGTGGCACATGCACACACATCTCTTCATTTCGTCTCTTTCTTTCTCTCTCTCTCTTTCTTCCTTTCTCTCTCTCTTTATCTCTTTCTTTCTCTCTCTTGCACACACACACACACACACACACACACACACTCCACCCAATTTTAATTGAAAATACCCTTTAAAGTCTAAATATTCTCTATCTTGGTCACTATAGAAAAATGCTTGCTAATTCATCTTGTCCAAGACAAATCGATAGTACATGGGAGAGCTTGTTAGAGATAATGTTCTGATATATTGCTACATAGATATATAGTTTTTATTTCCAAGTTTTACATGCAGGTTTTCTACACCTCTCTCTGTGTTATATCTTTCACTCCCATGTTCTGTGGTCTCCAAAAACACTGGTATCTACCTGAATCTTCCTGATAACTAACTGTTCCTTCCAAATGGAAAATTGTAATTATTTTCTGGGCCCCTGAGTAGCTGCAGTCTGAACCATTGCTTAGAGTAATCTGACTACACTAACTTTCTTTATTCTGTCCTCAGGCCTGCTTGTCATGTCATCAACAGATTCATCGCAATGCACCTATATGTCCTCTTTGCAAAGCCAAGAGTCGGTCACGGAACCCTAAAAAGCCAAAACGGAAGCAAGATGAATGAAGAGAAGGTGAAGGGCTAGACCGCTGTTGATCATAAACCCTCCCCTTGGCCAGAGTGATAGATGTCCTGATTTTCTAAAAAAAAATACCCCTTCCTTCTCCTCTTGAGTCTTCTATTTAATTTTCTGGAAGAAGAACACCTCTCTCTCTCTCTCTCTCTCTCTCTTTGCTCTTCTTTCTTTCTGCTCTTGGGATATCAGGTTCAAGAACAGCTGTGGTTTGGGTGCTAATGACTGGGTCTCATGACCCCTTCTCTCCCTCTCACATCTCAACTACTGTGCTGGTTTGGAGGTGACTGAGGGGTAAAGGCCCTGATGGACTCTTTCTCTTGCTCCCAAGGACTGGAGCCTATTGGGCTGCAGGGTGTACGGACTGGAGGAGGTCCATGTCTTACTTTAAGAAAAGGCCTCAATGATGTCCTTCCCTCTCTTTTTGCCTTAGGTTCTGAAAGGACAACTACTTTATTTTTGCCGGACTTCCCAATGGGCTGAATCTGTGTATTTCCCCAGTATTTAGCTCACCATTAGAGCTCAGGAGTAACTTAGACAGGTGTTCTTTCTTATAGTAATGTGTGAGGCTCTGTGTTATGCCATGGTTCCATCCAAGCCTTCCAAGTATACTCAAGTTTTTACATACCAGACTGGGCATCTGAAGATCCCAAGATCTGTAGGTCTTTTCCTCTATACTTTTTTTTGTTCTTTGCAAATCAGTAGGCATTCGCTGCAGTGAAATTAGGGAGTCAGACCCATGCTACACGTCTCACCCTGTTCACTGCTGGAAATAGGAGGTCTGGTGGCTATGGTATAGGAATTGTCTTGGATTGAGAATCCAGGAGCTGACTTTAGCTTTGTATTTTGTTTAAAAAAACATCACTGTAGGGGCTGGAGAGATGGCTCAGAGGTTAAGAACACTGGCTGTTCTTCCAGAGGTCCCGAGTTCAATTCCCAGCAACCACATAATGGCTCATAACCATCTGTAATGAGGTCTGGTGCCCTCTTCTGGCATAGAGGTGTACATGCAGAAGAAACATTGTATACATAATAAAATAAATCTTAAAAAAAATCACTGTAATACCTGCTCAATTACCATCACTGTATCACTGGGAGGATAAAAGTGAATATGGTATTATATGAATGCCAATCATTTTATACATGTAAGTGGGTATGACTTTGTTTTCCATTCTTCCCTCCCTTTGAGTCTGTCTTCTCTAAAGTAGCCTCGGTTCAGGAAGTTATTGGTCATTCTTTTCCTGTGGGTTGTGCAGGTGACCTTTCTCCCCCAACCAAGGGCACTAAGCTCTTCAAGCCCCACAGCTGACATCTTTATCAAAGCTAAGCCTCCTAGTCATGTTACTCTTAGACCTATGGAATAAAGTCAGGGCTGACTGATTAAAAAGATATAGCTCCAGGTCTGTATCCCTGGCTGGGAGAAAAGGGAGATATTTATCAATTTTTGTTTCTTTTTTTTTAACTTTTGACTTTGAGTCACAATAATATGTGTTCCAAACATCAAAGATGCCTCCGTCTTTTTAAAGTAAGTGGTATGATTTTATAAATCCTTTTAAATAAACGTTCATTTGTTGGAATAAATGCTAATTGGGTGCATTCTGTACACTGGGCGACAACAACAATAACAGTAGAAAGGGGAAAATAAAAAAAAGATGGAGAAGGCTACAGAGATGTGGCCGGGAGCCGGGAGCACTGTGGTTGGAGATAGACAGAGAGATGGCTGGAGCAGTGCTGCCTGCTGTGACGATACTGGAAGTGCAGGCCAAGAACAGGGTCCCAATACTGAGACTCACTGTGATTTTCTTAGAATAGGGGGAGGATTTGTGCCCATGCCACTACCTAAGTGAGTGAAAACATAGGAGTATGGTACTAGCAGACCAAAGCCATTATTTCTTTTTTTTAATTTATTTATTTCTTTATTAATTAATTAAAGATTTCTGTCTCTTCCCC